ACCCCAACCCTTCATTGTTTAAGTTCTTGAATCTTGACTTTGCCTGCCTATACCTGGTAAATGAATTGCTGTATAGAAATATAGTTTTAGGCCCAGAATAACCTGGAGAGATAACCAGCTGTGTTCTCCTAGCTGGTTCCTTAATCCATTGTCTCTTTGTATTAGTTTCCTTTCCCAGCTTCCCTTACACTTGAGATACGGAAAGTGGGAAATGGTTAATGTGATAATCTTTTACTCATACTACAAATAAACCCTGTATTCCTTGATTTAAAAAAAAAAATGAAGACTAAGATTTTGGGTGACACAAAATCTTATTCCTATAGCTAATCATTATTATAATTTGAAACTCTGTATAGGTCTGTATTATGCAACAAAGGTCATGTGTTTGACATTCAAGCCCCTAGAGTTTAGATGAGGGATACAGAACCTTGTCTATTATTTTAAAGTAGATAACCCTAACCTCATTATAATTGGAAGACACCCACCCCCCAGCCTGTGGAGATTTAGTCGTAGTGGGTAAAGAGAGTTGGATAATTATGAGAGATGGGATCCTGAAAAGTGGGCTAGCCAACTTCTATTTCTATGATTTAGTTAAAGGAAGTTTACCCAGTGATAGAGAAGGTTCCCCAGACTTGCAAGTTTCCTTGGATATTAAAGTTATGCATTTTCCTCAGTCTTTCTGTTAATATGGGTATAAGTGAGAATTCACTAAACTCTTAAATTTGAAGAAATAGAAGTAAAGAGGGGAATACTATTTAAATTCATAGAATTTTAGAACCTCTACATCATTTTTTGAACAAAGAACATGATCTGGTTGAAGTGACATGTTTGAGGCAACATGCAGTTTATGACAGATGTAGACTCTCAACTGGGATGCCTGAGTTGCAGGCCCTTGCTTTTTCTGCTGGATCACATTATCAGTCATCTTAACCCCATTGATTCTGTCCTGTAGTAAGGGATTTCCCTAGAATTCCACTTGACCTTCTCTAGAGCAAAGTTTGGACAGTGAGAAATCCTGACTTAAGACTCCTTTTCAACAAATAGTCAATACCCGTTTTTCTTTTCTTTTCTTTTTTTTTTTAATATGTCATTGAATTGGAGAAACCTTTGAAGGTTTTTTTTTAACCTTTTTTTTTAATGTGTCATGAACTTACTTGTTTTCTTAACAAAAAGTCATGCTGATCTTCTGTATATTGTTCCAATTTTAGCATGCTCACCACTGAAGCAGGTCATGTACATAGTAAATGTTCCTGACATGTTTAGGAACATTATACCAAAAATTCAAACTGGATGTATTTGGCTGCCTTGACATTTCTTTTTTTCTTTTGGAAAGGAATGTATTTAAATGAGAAACAGTTCTACTCCTCTAATGAAAAAGAAAAGTTTTAGGTTATTTATTTTTGTGAAATAGATTGTAGAACTTATGACCCTAATTTTCCATTATTTTCAACTAAGTTGGCCATTACATAAGGCACAGTGAAAAAAAATCTGACATGTTAGAACCATTAATGTTTTAATCTAGTTTTTTGATTAAGCCTATTTAACAATAGGATTTTTAGCGATCAGAAATGTAATTTATCTATTCTGCATCATACCAAGGAATTTGAAAATTCATCAGATTTGCTTTGAAAATTATATATATATATATATATATTTTGCTATGGCATTTGGTTTCATGACAATTTTCAAAGGCAATTTTCAGGATAACCTGATCTTTTCAGAATAAGCTTCTTCTTCCTTCTGAGGAACTGAAAGCTACATTATTATGGTTAGTGCTTGAATAAAATATAGTTGCATTTGGTTTTACTATGAGTATAGAATAAGTGATTTTTAAAAAATATTCTTGATCATCTTAGTTTTTAACCATTTTTACCTTTATAATGTGATAATCAAAAGCTAGTACTGCCAAAGAAATGCAAATGTTATTGAATGAAAACTTGAGATAATGGGTTCATTTGGTTATGTTTAAGTGAGTATTGATGGGGTAAAAATGGAAATTTTTTAATCAGATCTGTTTTAGAATCCTTTTGGCCTTTAGCAAATTAGATACCTTCTCTGAACCTTTTTATTCTTTCGTAAAATTTAGATAAAAATCTCTCTTAAATTGCTACAAAGATTAATTGAGATAACATGTAAAGTATGCCATATGTGTACTATACTCATTAAAGCTTTGTTTTTTTTTTAGTTTAGATCTTTATTCAATCTCTTCTTTTTTTATTTTATTTATTTATTTTTTTTAGTTTCCAGAAGAGAATGCCTTTTATTTTTTATTTTTTATTTTTTTTAATTGTTGGTCATTCAAAACATTACATCTTTCTTGATATATCATATTTCACAATTTGATTCAAAAGGGTTATGAACTTCCATTTTTACCCCGTATACAGATTGCTGAATCACATCAGTTACATCAGTTACATTTCCATTGATTTACACATTGCCATTCTAGTGTCTGATGAATTCTGCTCTCTATCCTATCCTCTACTATCCCCCCTCCCCTCCCCTCCCCTCCCCTCTTCTCTTCTCTCCTCTCTCAACCACCTCTACTGTAAAACATTTATTCCACTTGTATTATTCTTCCCTTACCCCTCACTTCCTCTTGTATGTAATTTTGTATAACCCTGAGGATCACCTTCCCTTTCCCTACAATTTCCCTTCTCTCTCCCTTCATTAAAGCTTTGTTGACCAAACCAGGCATGGATGAGCATGCATATAATCCCATCTCCTTGGGAGGCTGAGGCAAAAGGATCACAAGTGAAGCCACCTTCAGCAACTTAGTAATGTTCTGTCTCAAAATTTAAAAAAGTACTGAAGATATAGCTTAGTGGTTCAATTCCCAGTACTCGGAGGTTGGGGCAGGGCAGGATAGCAGAAAGAAGTATTGACTAAATGTTTGCTGTTTGTAACCTGGCCTGCATCCCACCTTGTGAGACAGGAAGATGAAGGAGGCAAGCATAAAATGAAGGTAGGAGCATATTAAAGAAACTGTCCATTTACTAAGTTGACAGGGATTCAGTGTTTAGTCAGAATAAACTAGTTTGTAAGCATTGTGACTAATTGAGGTTTTAATTCACTAGTGTTATTAGAAAGATTCAGAAAGAAATGAATTTTTCATATTCCTGCTTTGTTTAAATAGAAATATATGAATTTTGTTAATTTTCTCTGAGGGTATTTTTTTCCATTGATAAATAGCATCTGTCTCTAAATTTGTTTCAGTTCTAATTTTTATCAGAGGGGTTATTGCAACTTAGAATTTAAATATGTTTTACATCTACTTTGAAAGTTATTTTACAGAGTAATAGATTATTCTGATGATTATAAACTTGTGTACTAATTGGAACTAAGGAAAACTTTTTTTCTAAATGGAAGAAAAACAGCCACTTGGAGACTAAGTGTCACATAAAGCAAATGATGTATTGTTCTTTTTTAGCCATTAACATTGGCTCATATTTTTAGATAGAATGGGGACTTTTTATGACATTAACTGTGTGTCATGTTCTGAATGTATCTAGGAGACAGGAATTTTCAATCATGTATTTTTTATTTGCTCTGCATTTTTAGAAATTTACTTAACAATTTGAAATCCTGAAGAGTTCTACATAGATGATAAAGTTAGATATGAACTTTTCAAAGCTTTACACTCACCGGTTTGTATGCCTCATTTCTGGTAATGTTCTTGGAAATCAATCACATTTGAAAATCTAGTTCTTGGCCAACAGCATCTGTTTGCACTTTACATACTTTGAAAGTATTTTTTTGAATTGTAAAAAAGCAAACCAGATGATAAGACTTTTCTTACCTGATTGAAAATTGTTTAAAGTTTAGTTAAACTTTAACAGATTAATATAAATAAAGCTATGATTGTCTAAATGCATAGAGTATTAAAGTTTTCTTTAGTGGAGGGAGGGGAGGGGAGGGGTTGGGAAGATAGGAAGGATAGTAGAGTGAAACAGACATTATTATTACTGTGTGTATATATATGTCTGCATGACCAATGTGACTCTGTAACCTGTATACTCAGAAAAATGAGAAATTATATCCCATCTGATTCAAATGTATGATATGTCAAGATCACTGTACTGTCATGTGTTACTAAGTAAAACAAATAAAAAGTTTTCTTAAAAGGTTTTGAAATTTTTTTTAATTTGTTTTAATTAGTTACACATGACAGTACAATGACCTTGACATATCATACATTTGAATCAGATGGGATATAATTTCTCATTATTCTGAGTGTACAGGTTGCAGAATCACATTGGTCATGTAGTCACGTATATATTTTAAAAACTGTTACATTATTATAGTGGTATCCGCTCCCCCACCAAACCTAAGGAGGTCTAATTTACCAAAAGTTCTTTCAAGTTTGTGGAATTTTGTAGGTGACTTGATTGCTCATTAGTGTATATTCCAATCAAGGAATGGTGTTGATTGATATGATTGGCATTCCTCCTCCAATTTCTACAGCTCCCAACAGATGTTATGTTATATATGTCATAATATGTGAGCTTTTGAAATACAGATGTCTTACTATTATAGCAATCTGAGCAACTAAAATCTCTGAAAAGAGAAACCTAGAAAAGATTTTGAGATGATTTTAAGTGTCTAGGATCTAGGTTCACCCATAGGATATGTTCTTTGGATTGGGCTGAGGCTAGGTGCCAAAATTGCAGAGCTCCATGTCTGTAATGATAGCCATTAGCTACATTCGGCTATTAAATACTTGAATGTGACTAGTACAATTGAGATGTTTTGTAATTGTAAAAAACAGTGGATTTTGAAGTCTTAGTACAAGAAAAAATGTAAAATAACTCAGTTGTTTATATTGATTGTGGTTGAAATCTTGATATTTCATTATAAAATTAATTTAACTTACTGCTTTCACTTTTTAAATATGATTACTATACAATTTAAAAGCCTGTATACTTGCATTTGTGGCTCAAAATGTAATTCTATTGAATTTATTTATATTGTCATAAAGAAGAGAGTTTATGGTGTGTACTTACTATTGGGAGCTTGCAGAGGTTCAGGCAAATTCTCCCTCAGGATCCTTTAGCTTCAATTATTACAGCTGACTTGGCTGAGCTGGTTTGTTTTACAGTACTGTTGTGAAAACTATTGCCTACAAGCAGCCACTACTTCTCTTTCTAACTCTTGTAATTCATAAAATTAAAAGAAAAGGTTGCTCTGCCCACTATGTCTAATGGTTGCTTGCTAACTCTTGAGTGTCTGCTTCTTGAAGGTAGGTGATAAAAACATAAAATTATAGCTGCCATTCAGTGGTTACCTGCTATGTACCAGGTACTTTTCCAAGTCTTTTAGATAAAATGTTTATTTCTCTCATCAGTTCTGCAAGATTTCTATTATAAGATGAAGAAACAGATTCAGATACGTTTGTTTTTAACCTGGGTCAGCTAGTAAGTGGCAGAATCAGAATTCCAACCAGTTCTGCATGGTTCTAGAATCATGCGCTTTGAACTAATACTGTGCTCTCCTCACCATGTTTTTCATTCCCTATGTATGTCCATTAGTATGAAGCAGAGTGCTGTATATAATGGGGTCTCTTGCCAAATGGTGTTGGCTAATAGCTTCATTGGATTCTTGAGTTGATTTCCTTTGTCTTGGTGAATGACTTTTGCACCAGTTCTCACTCCAATCTACCTTCCTTCCCTATTTGTATCTAGTGTATGTTCCAGACATTAATGAAGAAATATAAGCTTTGTTTTAAAATTTAATTGATAAATATCATATATATTTATTGTGTACAACATGCTGTTTTGAAATATGTGAATATTGTGTGAGAATGCTTATAATTAGCAGTTTTTAAGAAAGACAAGTTTACAGCTTGTTGAGCAGTATAGATCATCTAAAGCCTGTGAAAGAGCATCTTTCTCACCTTGAAAATCAGTCAACAAAAAATGTTTCAGATGCTTTCAGGAAGAGATACAAGAAGAGTCTCCTGAATGCCAACAGTATCAAACCTTAGGCTTCAGACACCTACCATATAAGGAAGGGGATTTTTATAGACAAAGAGAGTTGAAGTAAAATAATGGGATAGAATAAGCATAATAACTGGATAAATCTTGTATAATCCTAGATCATCTCTTAATGGCCATGCCCATGACTTTGTTACATTAAGATTCAGAGGAAAAGGAAGTAGTCTCTGTGTTGGTATGCTAATTGCTAAATTAGAATAGATTTAATCACAATTTATAAGTTCTCTGATGGGCAGGATGCTACATTTACTCACTCACTTCAGCCTTCACTCAGACTTGGTGGCTTGGGAAAGATGAGGAGAGAAAAGGAAGAACAGAGTTTCAAAGAGTAAAACTGTACTGGGAAGATGGACAGCAAGGAGACTTGGGCAAGTTTAAAGTGCAAAGCTCTTTTATGTATGCACATGTACATTATAACACTAACTATAAGACACTATTATTTCAGGCAAGAAATTGATATATTAGAAAGAAAGTAAAATTTTTGACTAGGTGATGTACCTAATTACCCTAACTATAACCTTAGGAAATTATAAAATCTGAGACAATCATGGTCTTTCTACACAGATTTTTCCTTTATGATTAAAGAAGATCATGAAAATACCTTGTTTATGCCCATATGTTGCACATGTTGTTATTTTTATACTGTTAATTATTTGTTCACTCTTTTTTTTTTTTTTTTTTGAAGTGCTGGGATCAAACCCAGGCATTGTGCAGTCTAGGCGAGCATTCTACAACTGAGCTACATCCCCAGCCCTAATTGTTTATTCTTTATCTGAAATATTGCTTACCTAAAACTTGGGGAGGAAAAAATGTGTACCCCAAAACATTCACATTATGATTAAGAGAAGTGAGAGTTAAATGACCAATTTAAATAGGGCCAATTTGGCTCTCATCCCTAGGCTTTTAGACAGTGGCAGCCTTGTGGGTGAGGGGAATGTGGGCCTAATTACTTCTTTAATTTAGTCATTCATCCTTTTAACCCCTTTAAAACTTGACTTTTGTAGGTCAATTATATAATGCATGTACACATGATGTTTCTTTTAGCATAAAGCCCTGTAGCTATTTTTTTTTAAAAGATTTTGATATATTCATAGCTGTAAACTTGGTTTGCATTTCTCTGAGGTTCATGGTCTTCAACTTCCTACCAAGTGAAGGGTTGCTATAACTACCAGATGGCAGGCTTTCCTAATCGAGTGCTAGATGCCAACAGGCTAATACAGAATAGATGTGTGCAGAATTCAAGCACAGCATTTGTTGTATTGTTTAAACTGCTAATCCAGTAAATTTAATATAAAGAGTCTAAACCAAATACATTTCATGTTGTCATACAATTGTTTGGTTCTCAGGGCAATCCAGAATGCATATTTAAAGTATGTGCCATATAAAATGCTAGGTATGGGAATATTTTACCAAGTTAGAAATTTATTTGGAATTCATCCAGCTGGCAGATCAGTTGTACTAATCAGATGGATCCATTTCTGGGGAACAGGATTTCATTGTGGGAGCAGTGTTCCTGAGATATAGTTACTTTAAAAATCAGTTAATTTCCAATTTAAAAATTCTGAAATGCTGTATTAAAATGTGTTGTAAGTACAAACATTATGCACATAGTGCAAATACTTAATGGCTTATGTTGTGTTCTTACTGCTGGGAGCTTACAAAATAACAGAAGGGACAATAAATTCATTGTACTGTACGCAATTGTTTTTAATTTCTCCTTTGAATTCCTGGGATCATAACTTGCTTTTTCCATTAGTATCTATGAACATGAAAAAGCTAAAGTACAGAGAAAGCTGGAAACTCATACAGTTTAAGGTTTTAAGGTAGATTGGCTTAGTCAGAGACCACTTGGTAAAAATGAAAAGATCATAGATGAGGAGTAGACCTGAAGAACTAATATAGATCTTTGTTAACCTTAAGGTTAACCATTTATAATATTATACATTGTCATTTTCACATGGTGAAACCTCATGCCCCAAAGTAGCATTTTCCACACTATGTTATGCAGATCATTAATTCTAAGAGATTTCTCAAGAAAATAGTTTCAAATATGTTCAGGGAAATTTTTTTTTTAAGCAGTATTGGGGATTGAACCCAGGACTTTGAACATGCTAGGCAAGCATTCTATCACTGAACTACACCTCCAGCTGTTTTTTATTTTTATTTTGAGACAGGGTCTTGATAAGTGGCCCAAATAGGCCTCGAACTTGTGATTCTTCTGTCTCAGCCTCCAGAATAGCAAGATTACTATTGGGAGCCATGAAACTATCCTGAATCATCTCTATAGAGAGCATAGCAAATGAAGTACTGCTGTTAAGTGCTGGGTTTACCTCTTTTTTTTTTTTTTTTTTTTTTTTGTTAAAATTCAGTGTATCTCTATTTAAATATGTCACTAGATCACAGAAACCAATCTCTCTAATAAAATCAATCCCCATAGTTAAACCCCTATTTCTTAGAACACACTTTAAAAACAACGCCTTTAAGTAATGAGTTAACAGATTTCAGAGTTTATTTTTGTGATGATTCTCTTCTTGAAAATGAAAAATTACATTTGGTAGTTACAAATACCTCTGCTTGGAAAATATAATGCTTGTGTTATAAAATCAGTATTTATAAGGTCATTTTACATAGAAATGTTAATTTCTATGGGTTAATGCCTTTGAATTAATATTGACATATATGGGGGCGTTTCAATGCCTTCTGTAAATACAGTTTTCCTTTTATTTAAAAAAATTACATTTACTTCCTATAGACCGTATAATTTCTTTAGCAAGCTATTTTATAACTTAAATTATATATTTAAATAATAAATTAAGCCAGGCAGGTGGCACACACCTGTAATCCCAACAGCGGGGGAGGCTGAGACAGGAGGATCACAAGTTCAAAGCTAGCCTTAGCAAAAATAAGGTGCTAAGCAACTCAGTGAGACCCTGCTCTAAATAAAATATAAAATAGGGCTTGGGATGTGGCTCAGTGGTCAAATGCCCCCCTGAGTTCAATCCCTGGTACATCATCATCATCATCATAATATAAACTTCAATTATTTTAAAGTTAAGTATTAAGGAGATGTTTTAGGGGCAATTAAACTAGTCTAATTGTTTTTTTTAATCAAAAGGCAAATCAAAGATTTCAGTAATCTAAGATACTGCTTTAAAATCAATTATTATATAATGAGGTTTTGAAATTTAAACTCAACAATCATACTCTAAGAATATCCAAATTATTTATCTGTACCAAAGCCTACTATTTAAAGTCTGTAATCTGAGTATACATCAAGGACTTTTAAGCATTTCTTTGCTTTCCATTAATTCCTTAAAAATGACAGCTGGGAGTACTTTTTTTAATTACAGTTAAATATGGATCCTGAATCATCTCAGCTTGAAAAATTGGAAAGTTGTGTCCTTATATGAGTAATAGAAAATACTAAATACAAGCTTATAAATGTAAGCTAGGGCATAAATTAAGTAAATTAAACCAAAAAAGCTTAACCAGCCACATTTCAGATTTGGAGACATGTAATCTATAAATGTAACCTCCTACCAGAGAAGAAATAGTTCTTCTGCTGTTAACTACCAAACCAAGTCATGAGATAATGTTTTATTTTTACTTGTATTTGGATATATTAGCTTTGGCTTGCCATTTGTTGAATAACTAAAAATGGCATGTTTAATACTAGGTAGTATTTATGACTAGACCGTCAAATACCAAATGGAATTTTGAGGGAGGAATTCCTTTAGACCAAAATATAAAATAAGCATTTTTTTCCTTAATGTTAGTCTAGGTAATTATGTCATCCATGTGTTTACCCTTCAGTTCATCCATCCACTCTGTGCCCCCTTGCAGCTGTATCTTCATTGATACTCTTTCCACCTCCATCTCCAAATCCAGCCATCACCATCCCATGTTTTAAAGGAATTACAGGCAATAGGGAATAGACTAACTAGAGCAGTTTTTTTCTGAAGGACATTGCTAGGTGAGGACTCCTAAAGATTAATGAGATAATTTAACTTCTCCAAGAAAGAGCTGCCCAGCAAGTGGAATAAAAAACTTTAAACCCAAGCTAGACTGGCTGATAAACAGAAGCTACACTTGCAGAGTTGTCAGCTACCTGTCATCGCCCCTCTCTTCTTGCCATTACCAGTGATAGCATGAATTGTTTTAGACCAGTCAGGCATTTGAAGTACCTACAATGCTTGTTAAAACCAGACCCCCACACTTTCTGATTTCTTAAGTTAGGAGTGAGGCCCATTAATTTGCACCTTGCACGTTTTCTTGTGATGCTGGTTGAAGGTGACATGTACTACTAGGGCACATTCCCAGTGACATACCTTCAACCATGCCCCACCTGCCTACAGTTACCACTAGTCCATTCAAACTAGGATGGACTGATTAGGTTACAGCCTTCACAGTCCAG